AATGGTTGTGTCTATTCACTTCATAACAGTATCAACACAAGAAGCCTAGACATCTAATGCATATGTTGTTGCTATTAATAATCCTTATTTTCTAGTGTGTATGTTGTTCTTCGGCTTGTGCTCCCTTCTCTCCGTATCACTAGACAGAGAGCGAGGAAGGCCTGGGTTCAGATCTGCCTTGGCCACTTAGCAGCTGGGTGACAATGGGCGAGTCACTTGGCCTTTGTCTGCCTCAGCTTCTTCAACCCTAAATGGGAATAACAAAATTACCTCCAAGGGTTCTTATTAGATAACATTGGTAAAGTCTTCTGCAAACCTTAAAACAGTATATTAATGCTGACTCTCATTATCATCATCTTTATTATTATATGTGTACTCTTACATCTTATTTATATTGGAGGACAGAATGTCAGAAAGCACAGGGGAGAAGAAATGCAAACCCAGAAAGTTACTCAAATCCAAGTGGGTTTAGAAGGAATTCAGGCAAAAGCAAAATATCTAGAGTATACTCCCAAAGAAAGAATATTTAAATTATTAGACTCTCTAAAAATTATTAAAAATAAATCATCTGACTCTCATTTAAAGAAACTGTGTAGGATTATTCCTAAACTGTAGTATAAAATGGGGGATGAAATAAATAAAGAAAATTCATAGCAAGCCAAGAGAAGAGTCCCAGATTCAACATATCCCAACACATCATTTCCAATCTTCAAGTTAATACTGACAAAGTTATAATCTTAGGAACAAAACAGGAGAGATGAAAAGTGTCACATATCAAAAAAAACACCAAATTTCAAAAATTGTTATACAAAAACAAGAAATGACAGAAAGTTTTGAAATATTTCAGAAGTCAATAAACATAGACTTTCATCCCAAAAGTCACCTGCCAATTAAAGCTAAGCATCATTTTGGAAGACAAAAGATGGTCATTGAAAACTTAAGATCAATGTGAATAATTCATTCTTAAACCACTGTTTGCCTCAATTTTCTCAACTGTCAAATGGGGGATAATAATTAGGATCAAATGAGATAATTGTAAAGTGCTTGGCATGATGCCAGGTACATAGTAAGCACTATCTAAATATGATGATGATGTCATATCTAATTGCTTTTTTTAAAAAAAAAGCCCATCAAGGAAGGCACAGTAGCATCTTATGAAGGATGCTGGGTGACTCAGTGGATAGAGTACTGGGGCTGGAGTCAGGAAGATCTGAGCTCAAATCTGGCCTCAGATACTTACTAACTGTGTGACCCTGGGCAAGTCACTTAACTTTTGTTTGCCTTAAGCCACTAAAGAAGGAAATGGCAAACCACTCCAGGTTCTTTGCCAAGAAAACCCCATGGACAGTATTGGTATGCTATGGTCACATGCTATGACCCCGTGCTATGGGGTCGCACAAGGTTGGACACAACTGAATGATCCAACAATAACAGTAACAGATGCATTTATAGACTGAAGGAAATGAGCCATTGGAGGGGAAGAGATTGAAGAGATTGAGATAAATGGGTCAATTGATGGAGCTAGTTCATAGAGGAATCAGGTGGGTATTGCTCAAGGGCACCGTTGTAAAGATATGTCAACAATTGGTATTGAGGCCTCATGAGGAATTGTGATGCCTCACTAAAGAAGTTGAAATTCACAGAAAGGATGGTTCAAAGCAATGGTAGACTCATACCCATCATGAAGGAAAATGGACATGATATCAAAAGGAGAGAGTGAACACCTATGCAAGACCATTACCTACCATTTGGTCTATGAAGGCAAGAGAAGTTGACTCTTCAAAATTCCCTTACTGTCCACACTCTGAAACAGTGCAGCATTCTTCATTCACCCTCTCCATGTTCTGCAGCATGCTCAGCAGCCCTTGGTCACCAGTTCCCTGAGGTCTGTGCAGTCAATAGAGCAATTCATCTAGGAAGAGTCCATGGGCCCTCTCCACGTCCTGGACTATAATGCTAATGGTCTGTTGAGAGTGAAGTCCTGGCACTTGCTGCTAACTGTCCTTCAGCTTTCCCATATTGAGTGAGGGTTCTAAGCTGGGCAGGCTTTCCTTTTGTGCTGTGGTGGAAATGTCATTAGACAGGGAGTCAAGAGACACTGGTGCTTCTCCCAGCTCTGCCATTACTTGGCTGTGTGGCCGTGAGCATGTTCTGCCCCGTCTCCGAGCCTCTATTTGTACATCAGTAAAATGAGATGATTGAACTAGAAGGACCTCTAAATCTCTTTCTGTCTACCAAGTCCTGAAATCTACAGTTCTCATCATTGCTCTCAAAGAATATTTATTAAATGTCTTTATTCAGTCCTTTTGTTGAATGTATTTAGCACAGTGTCTAACACAGAGTAGCCATTTAAGAAATGCTAGTTGATTCTTTGACACACACATCCAGTTTATCATATAAAGATATAAATATGTAAATACTATACACACATATGCATATATATGTATATATGTGTATATATATACATATATATGTGTGTGTATATATATATATATATATATGTAAATGCTTACATATGGAGAGAGAGGGAGAGACAGAGGGAGAGAGAGAGACTACCCTAAATATAGAAGGGTTGCCTCAGGAGAGAGTGGGTTCTGCTTCACTAGGGGTCTTTAGCCAGGGGCTAGGTGATCACTTGGGTATGTATCTTGGAGAGGGAATTTTTTTTTTTTCAAGCACATGTCTGACTAGACCCTTGAGTTCCCTTTCTGCTCCACTGAATTCAATTCAAAATCATATGTAATGTTTTGTAAGAACCTGGACAGAACTGGACTTGATTGGAGACACAAAGGCTAAAATAAAATAGCTCTTGTCCTCAATTAACTTCCGTTCTACTAAGGGAAGTTCCTATGATATTCACAGTTTACTTTTTGAGTTACCTACAAAGCTAGTTCATTGACCTCCTAGTTTTCAAAACAGGTACAGAATGCCCTTTTTTTCTAGATCACCTGGAAAAAATATAATAGAATGGAATCTCGTTGAGAGCAGGGATTATTATTTTTTAGCATAACTTTGTATCCCCAGCATCTAGCACAGTGCCTTGCACACATTAGGCACTTAGCAGAAGATGCAGAGATGGACTGGAAGAGACCATTCTCCCAGCGACCACAAAAATTCTTCCATGTCCCTATCAATAAATTGATGCACCAATATGCATTAAGCACCTACCCTATATTGGCTACTCTGCTGGGTACTAGAGATAAAAAGATAACAATCAGACAATTCCTGCCCACCAGCAGCTTCCATTCTACTTTTCACCAAGTGATCTAGATAAGAAGGGCATATGGCATCTGGCTTAAATAGAATGTAAATTACACCTTGGGAAATAAGGAGTATGCATGTTTAGCGCTTAATAAATGTCTATTGGCTGACATATAAATATACTGTAACTAAATACAAATGTTTGATCAAGCACCTGTGTGAGGTGATACCTGCGAGCCTCTCATGAGCCCCTCCCACATATCTTCATCATGCCCTACACGCAAACATGAGAGGGAAGACAGAAGGGTACTATTTTGCAAGTTGGCTTGCCCAGCAGTACATTTTGGGGTAACCTGAGACTCAGATAATTAGGAGCAACAGATATCAGCCTACACCCACTTTTTTTTAATTAGGGGAGAAGTACCTTGACTGCATCCAGAATGACCTTAGATTCCTTTAGAGCTCAGCAAAGGTGCTCCTTCTTTTAAGGTGTTTCCTACTGTCTTACTCCTCCCCCAACCTTCAGCCTGGGCCCTGTGCCGATTTTAATGATCCCATCCATGTGACACACATATTTTTGTTTCATTGCTATTAGTGAATGACAAGTGAAAGAGATTCATTTTCACTTGGAAATGTCAGCTATGCACTTTAAGAGATATATTTTTTTGCCGTTTTTAATGAGACGGTGTTTCTTTTTGAAAGAAATACTCATTTCTGATGTGGGGAGTGTGCAGGTGACAACTGATATTTAATAAGGGATGGCTCTTGTATCTGGCGCAGCTCGCTAAAGAAAATGTCTCCGATTGCTTTTGAAAAACTCTTGGCGTCACTAGCCCAAAGGCAAGACGTGACCTTTTTTATTACATAATGAGAATCATTTATTATCTTACAATGTATCTTAAAGCCACAGACAAAATGCCACTCTGATAATTGCTTTCAATTAGCTGTGAGCATAGCCGAGATTCATAAAATGTCTTCTCTAATTTAGGCTGGAATTAGAGAAAATTGCCGACATAATCTACTCTGAGGTTGTCTCATCTAAGGTGATTTCGTCGTTCTATATCAAAGAAAGGGAAGCAGAGAGCTTGAAAACAGTCTTCTAGAGGGTTAGGATACAGGATTTTCAATATTGGATTCTATTCTATTACCAATTAATTAACAAATTAGAAAGCTAGTTCTTCATTTTTTGACCTTTTCTCCATGTTTGCTTTTGACTTTGTATTCCAATGATTGTTTTGAAAATGACGCGAAGTAGACCAAGAGGAACCCGAGTCTTAGGATCATTAAAAAAAAAAAAAAGCCTGGGAGGATCCCAGGGATAGGTGAATACCCAATAGGCTTTCAGCCCTGTCCCAGGCTGCCGTGACATTGGACCATCCCCTCCTGTCTGGGCATCTTGCTCAGTTGTGCTCAGATGAAATGCCAAATGGCCAAGTTAGAAGCAGCCAACATCGAAGCCGCCAGTGCTGCCCTGAGCTCTACTGTATGTGGTTACAGAAAGCATAATGTTTAAAATATGAACTCGATTAATTTTATGGTTTTTTAAAGTATCCTGTGTAATAAAATGTGTTTTAATGCGTTCTCATGTCTTTTCTTTAAAAAAGGTCAGGGCAGTAGGGAGAGTGATGGGTGGGGGAAAGATGGTGTAATAATAGTGGCTCCAGAGCTGCTGCTATTTGTGGCTATTCAGCGGCTCATGAAATATTTGTAACCTTAGCAAAGAGTTTCAGAAAAAAAAAAGATGATTGAATCTGGCGCTGACTCTTTCTTTATATATATTTATATGCATTTTCCCCCAGATAAAAATTACCCACAAGAACCAGGCTCCGATGCTTATGGGACCCCCGCCGAAAACTGGGTTCTTCTGCTCCATCGTCCGCAGGACACGGACCCGCAGCAAGGAGTGAGCCCAGCTGCTTGGGTCTTGGCCACCGAGCGGGCATCCTCCGGCTTGTGAACGTTCACTCTGGAAAGCTTCGACCCGATTCTGTCGTCTGTATGTGCCGCCAACCCTTGGAACTGGTTCTGCAGTATCTGTGCCTGAGCTAATGTACAATTCTGCTACTAGAACATTTCTTGTCCCAGTTTTAGAGGCATTTTGCATGAAGAAAGCAGATGTTTCCATAAAGTGATACTGCATATATCTGTGGCATGCATTCCCATGGACTCATATGTCTCTCTCCACATACACCCCACCCTAACCCTGCCCCCCTCTTGCAGCCCCTGCTTAGTAACTTGTGGGAGTAGCCTGTTGTGAAACCTGAAAAGGGAACTGCCAGGAGAAATTGATACTGTCAGTATGATCCCCTTTATTATCCAGCCCAGATCAGTAACAGCAGGGTGAGGATGCTAACCCTGGGCTGGCTAGAGGCTTAAGCGAGGTGTTGGATGTAAAGCACTTTGTAGACCTTTAAACACACTAGTTAAATGTGAGCTATGATTATCATTATTATTATTACAATTATTATTGTTGTCTTCTCTTTGGGAACCAAATATCAGATCAATGGTCTTTGACCTTGACTTCTAAGGGGCCTTTACAATCACAGGTTTCATTAAACAGTTATCTGTCCCGTCTCACTGCTTGTCCCATGCTTCCCCTCTTCTTCCAAGCTTAACTCTGTTGTATGTGTGATTGAAAAAGGGGAATGGATTGTCTAGTGAATCTAGCAGAAGACATATATTTCTAGGAAAATGGAAAGCCAAGTTCTTTCTTGCAGAAATACATGAGAGCATTTGACTCTGAACAAAATTTGGCAACTGAGACAAACCCTAAATCTCCCTGCCTCTGAACCCCTGTGAGAGCACCTCATAATTGCTTATGTAACCAATAACCAAGTGGACTTTGTAAACCATGTGCCTAATCAACTGCATTTCCCACCAAAGATTTAGTGAGAGAGGCCTGAGAGAAATGGGTTAATGCATAATTAATCAGGCATTAGGGAGCCAATCCACTCCGGGAAATGTACAATTCTTTGAATTCCTTTTGAAATGGCTGAAATAACACTAGAAGAGGGTAAACTGTCCATTATTTATAATTAAAATGCTCACCTTTGATAGAGCTCCAAAATATATAGTCCCAGTTCCAGAAGGGCCTTCTTGGCCTCCTTGTTATACATAAATGTATGTACTCATGTTTCATGTAAGTGCATCTGAGAAAGGAACCCAGAGATGGTCTCAGGCCCTTCTCTTTAATGTTGGTACCTTCACTTATTTCAAACGTTAATGTGATGGGAGCGTGAATCATGCATGTCCTTGGTTCTTGCCTCTGGGAGATTTCTTAGTACTATTTATACCTGATGGCATAGAGCTTTGCATGGTATGTCTAACCCCTGTAGTGACCTGAGACATGTCCTAGGATGGTACCCATCCCCATGTGGCATTGAACTAAGGACACACAATGTGAATCCTTCCATGAACAGCCAAGGTCTTGCTTGTTCATATTGACCACCATTTCATCATCATATATTTTGTGTCTTCAAACATGCCACAAGGGGAAAAAATGTTTGAAACGCATGATTCTCTCTCTCTCTCTCTCTCTCTCTCTCTGTGCATTAAAGCGCTAATGATTTATCAGTGCTATTTTGTATTGATTCAATTCATCTTTGAATAACAAAGAGCATTTAGTCATTTGGTTGAACTCAGTTGTGTGCATGGATTTATGGATTCCCAATGACACCGCTTTCATCTCTGTGCTTTGGTTGGAGACCTAACTCAGCTGAGTGCTACTGGACCCTGGACCTAAGCCACACCCGTCTCTTAGGCTGACATGCCGGAAAAGATCCTGTACTAGAGCCCCTTCTCTCAGTATTCTAGAACCCTCCAAGTCAAATAACAATAAACAAAATGTCTTCATGGGTTCTCAAATGAGGATGTTGTTTTTTTCCCAAAAAATCTAGGCATAGCCCAACATTCCTAAGACAATTAGCCTTGCAAGCTTGCCCTCATGGGGCCCAAAAAACTAACTTAGACTAGGACTTAGCACAGCTATCCAGCTGAAGAGATTTCTCATGAACAGAAAAAGCAAATGTCCTCGTCAGCCTGAGGTTTCCTGGTGTGGACGCTCATCTTACAAAATGATGGTTTCAGGGAATAGATATTTTCACGTGAATTGTCAAAATGATGTGCCATAGGCTGAAGGCCTTTGGTGTTGGGCCATATTTTGAAATTACAACCTTTGTGTTCCCTACAGCATGTGATTATCTCTTCATTACTTTTTACAGAACTCTGTTTTAAATGCCACAAGGGTTTGTGAATCATTCTTAATGATGGGCCCAAGGAAAACACTCAGTGGACAACATTAGGGACACACACTAAACACCATGCAGACAAGGCCTCCATAATGGATATTAATGGCCATAACTAGGGGGCTGAAGCTTTCCTCCAACATGTTAATGGAGCCCAATTAATGTTCATCACCATCCCACACTCAGTGACTCACTCTTAGTCATCCTACTAATAGTGATCCATTTTTACTTTACAAAAACCTATTTCTTAGTTGCCAAGGTATGTGCTCTCTCTAATCACACTCCTCCTGGGGGTTGGAGCATAGTTTTCTTTTCTTTTTTTAAACCTACTTTGATGGTTTTGAAAGCAAGAAAGACATTTCCTTTTCTCTGAGCTGACAGTCTCCAGTGCAGTCGAACATGGCTCCTTTGTAATGCTGGTTAGAGTCAATCCTAACTTGAATGCAAGACCCTTAAACATTTAGTGGGATCTGTGTTTTCTTCATGGGACAGATTATGCACTTCCTGAGGTGTTTGAGTTCCGCTCAACTTCTTTGAAATATCATGGCTGTAGTCAGGTAACGGGCAAGAGGGGAAGCCACTTCCTGGCAGGTGGTTTCCAATCCAATAGCCAATGATCCTTTATTAAATACATACGATATTCCTGTGGTAAGCTCTGAGGATACAACGAATAAAAAGAAAGTTTGTTCTTGCCTTCAACGAGTTTGCAGTCTAAAAGAGGAGACAACACACAAAAGGATACAGGAAAGGGGTTGGGGAAGGGACGCCGGGGGCTACCGAGCATGGTGTTCAAACCAGGCAGGGCAGCAAATGCAATGTGAAATGATCTGAGGGTCCAGTTGCAGCGCTGTATAAAATAAGGTGTTTGGAGGAGTTTGGTACTCTGCCCTCCAGTCCACCAATCAAAAAGGAGAGGAATTTGAGGGAGATGGAGCCAATCACGGCTTGAGGTAGCAGCATAGTGGTGAGTTTAGAAGTGGTGAACTCATTCTGAGAGGAGCATCTTGTTCCATGGAACTGAAACCAGGCAGGGCAGCGAGTTGAAGAAAATTCCACCCAAGATGGAGAAAAGAGAGACCATCCTCACTTCATCATCATTATTTCTGTGTTTAAGATGCAAGGGATCGTTCTCAACTGACTGGAAAACCAAATTAACAGGGGTTATATATGTATCTACCTTTAAAAATAACCTTCAAATTCTGGGTCTATAGTAGGACACCTTTGGCTATCTCGTGAAGCCTATGGATCCCTTCCCAAAATAATGTTTTAAAATGCATCCAATAAAATACATAAGATTACAAAGGACACAAATTATGTTTAAATATAAAGGCAAATTTACAAACCCCAGGTGAAGAAGCACTGGATGCTGAAAGAGTTGGTCAATTCTGTGGTGGGATGGTAGGGAGAAGAACCAATCAGACTGGTTCTTTGGTATGACATGGCCAAACCAAAGTGAAACAACAGATGGAAATATCTCCTTTTGATGGGTCATGTCAGTATTGCCAGAGCCAATGGGGCAGCTTCACTGGTATGCAAGGCTAACGTGTACAAGCCATTGGGTCTTGACATAATTACCCAGTGGGGATTGGTAATGATCTCTATGTTTCCATCTCGTTTTTCTTTCTCCTATTCTTTTAGGGGGAGGGAGTGTCAGAATATAAAGGGCCACATCAATTTGAAAATCTTCAGCCATTCACAAAATCAGCTGCTGTAGAGTTGGCTGTATCATGTCCATAGAGCCTCAGATGTCCCTCTTTTAGGAATGTCACAATGCAAGGTGGGTTCTGTCATCAGTGATGGCCATATGGGTCCCTTAGGAAGCAGTGCTGATAGATTGAGCTCTTATAATGGAGGTGCAGAAAACCAAAAAAGGACAACTGTTTCATGAAAAGCTATAAGACAGCTGAGAAACATACAATCCAACTACCCGTACAGGAACAAAGTTATAGAAAACTCATTAACTGAAAATATGCCCAACCTTAAATATTGGAAGCCCCTTGAGGAACAAAACTAGAATTACATTCCCAGAAAGCATCACTCTGGAATTCAGCTTTTGAAAAGAAAGATGATGACAATCCTGCACAGTGTGTCTTGGTGCTTGGGTTCCAGTCATTTTGTTGACAATGAGTCATCCAAAGCAGTTGGCCCACCTTCTTGATTGAATGGGTGTCTGGTGAAGGGGAAGATGGGAACGGGTCCCACTGAACTCTTCCAGTGAATGTCGTAAAATGACATGCAGCCTCTGCACATGGTGACCTTTAGTTTGGACATGTTTGACCCTGCCACTCTGGTGAGGGTACCATTCCTAGAGGTCCAGGATGCCTTGGACTAGAGGTCCTAACCACAAGCCCATGGTCCTGTATGGAGGTCTGATGGTTGAAACAAAGACACTAGGGACCCAATTGTATTCTGGGTGACACTGGTGAGCCAACTCTCCAATGTCATTTTGATCCTCACCCAGTGACCAGTTTTCTTCTTTATATGGGAGTGGGGGGGGGGCGGTTCAAGTTTTTACACAGTAAATGAATAGAGTCTCCCAGCAGCATTCTTCTTTAGCATTGCTGAAAAAATAAAACAACCTAAGGCTGGGGCCATGCCTAGTGTGTAACTCTTCCTACTAAATAAGGATGATTTAGGACTGATCCAAAATTCTGAAAGAAAAGTATTTAAATCTAACAAGTATTTATGAAATGTCCTTATGTACCAGGCACTGTGCTAGGCACTGGGATTACAAAAGGGAAAGAGGCTTTGTCCTCAAGAAGTTTATGTTCTACTAGGAAAAAAAAACAAAATGAATCATGTACATGCAAAAGTAATTTTTTTTAAAAGTCTAAAGCAAAGGGAAAAGAGAAAATTCAATTGGGATAAATGTAAAATCAAACTTGGGCTCAATCAGCCTCAGGAACTGCAAGATGGAAGAAGCACGGTTAGCTCTGAGCCCCAAAGGGAATGCCAGACCAAATAAGGCAGCAATGTATTATGGCTGCCAAAAAGTCGAACGGGATCTGGAGCTGTATTAAGAGAGGCAAGGCTTCCAGGACTAAAGTGTCAGGTCCATGGCATTCTGCCCTCATTGAGCCTTATCGGGGGGGCTCTCTTCTGTTTGGGTGCCACTGTTTAAGAACTCCATTGATAAGCTGGAAAGTGTCCAGCAAAGGTCACAGGATGGTGGAAGTCCTTGAGCCAATGTCACATGAAAAATGAGGGAAGGAACCGGGGATTCTTAGCAATAGGGAACGCACTTC